TGGTAACAAATAAGGTAAGTCTTTCATTTCATTTGACTAACGAATTTCCTTGTCTTTGTTGTGTTGCAGCCGAGAGAATATAGTCTAGACTTTAGCTTAGTAGTTTGAATTTTCCTTTATAGTTTTCCTTGTTTATTTCCCTTTGATGTTGCACCTTTCCTTTTCAAGTTCTGTCGCATTGAGTCTTTTTTTTCTCTTGAGTCTAAGCCACTTGGACATTATATAAGTCCCTTTACGGCCGTGTAACTTTTCAACTTTGATCATCAATAAAATCAAACTTTTCTTTTAAGCTTTTCTCAGCAAAGAAAACTTGTTAAACCACTTTGTTCTAGTCGAGACCAGTCCCTCCTAGACCAAAGATTACTCGTGTTTTATCATAAGCCTTTCACAGCTTGTGTGGTACACCTCATTCCATTGTTACTTAACCGATCCTCCATACGATTCCTTGGTTAGAGAAGCTCGACCATTGAATCAACCCTTGGCCGTTAAACCAAGCTTTGTGTTCCGAGATCATACAAGCCTTGAGACAGCCCTGAACTTGTATCACTTTAGAACGCCTGGATTTATATAGAAGTTAAGAGCATCCAATAACAGGAATTATCTTATAGTGCAGTGGTTTGCGCTCAAATACATAATCTAATGGTGGCGGGTTCGGAGACTTGGGGGCGCCCGGCCCTGGTGATCGGTGTGGGGACAGGTTATTACTGCAGCATATGACTCGTCTTCTTCGTCCTTTGATCACCTGTCACGTATTCCCTTGAATGGTGTTCTCGATTGGTATAGGAACCGATCATCCTAACAAAAAATTTAAAATACCATCTCTTTGCCCTTTTGTTTTCCTGATCAGGGTGGTTGATTGTTTTTTACACCAAGCCTGTCTTTGCTCACAAACGATAATTTTCTTGACTTTCTTTCCAAACCACCTTTGTGTTAAGTCTCCATACTCTGCCAGCTTCAAAATATCTAAAAACGAACAAAATTATGTAATGCAAATGCATAATTTGTTTTCTAAAGACTCTAAATGCAAGATTAAGTTCAAATTTGACTGAAATGCATGAAAACTACTTCTAAATAATTAGAAGAGATCAAAACTAACGAAAACAAACGTTAAGGACACTTAATATATCACATTCATTCAGCTTGTAATTAATTTAATATACCAAGTGCTCTCGAGTTGTGCAGCTTTAACTTATATATGAAACATCGATTGGTTTCCTTCAATTTCAAATGCTTACTCTTAGTTTCGACTTTCGATCCATTCGTTTAATCTTATTACTTATTATACTCGAAATAGAATGAAACAAAGAAATTCGATACTTGTGTTTCTCAAGCAAACTACGTCAAGAAAAGAGATGCCACTAAGTCCAATTTATTATTTATGTTGAGATACTCACATAATATTCCATATTAAATTGTTTCAACTTATTATTATAAACTAGGTGACTAGGCCGTAACGTGAGCTTTCATGTTTTTAATTGTTCACTTTATTGTTATATCGTTGTTGATTATCAATGAACAATATATTATTATAAAAAATGACATTGTAAAATAAACAGGCAAGTACCTGTAGTCCAAAAAAACACAAACAAGCAAATAAATAAAAATTATTGTAATTCCATTGCAAACAAAACTTGTTTAACCTCAGCTTTCGAAATATGCCTTGTTAGATAGATGATTGACTAGGACATGTATGCTAGAAGTTTGTGTTAGTACTGTTGTGTCACCATCTATACTAAAATCTACATAAATTTTAATATATACTTAAACTTAGTATGATTTCCTAGTTCACACATCTATTGCTACTAGCGAAAGGTAAGAAATGAACCACACATCAATAGCTAGTAGAAATGTTGAAATATGACTTCCCAGTTCTATCAGTACTAACCTCTTGAACTCTTCAAATACATTTACAAGTTTTCTTACCAAAAGACAACTTATTTTGGATCAAAAGATCTTTGAAAGCAATAAGTTTGCCTCTAGTGATGAAGCCCAATAGAAACTGGCTTCAGAAGTCATTCTTTTTCTAGCCCAATATAGTTTTGTTTTTGTTAAATATTATTTTAGTCAGCAATTTCAATATACTTAACATCCTAAACTAAACCCTTTGCTCACTAGAACAGCAATATCGCGAGTTTAGTGCTGTTTACGCAAAAATGATCCAAAAGTCAGTTGAAATTGCATAAACGATTGTCTAAGATTCCAATACGATTTATGCTAGTCAAAAATAAAGAAACTTGATAGTCTTGATTAATATTTAACAATTAAGCAAAAATTGTCTAAATTTAAACTCTGGACACTAAACCTTAATATTAAATCTATAAATACTGTATTTATTTACTTCTGAAAGAATCAGCGTACTCCTCTAATTTGAGATTTACTTCTGAAACTCTAGCGTAGCAATCGCAAAATCATTACATAGATACTCCAGAATAGATACAATAATAATGAGCTGTTCGGTTGGTTAAACAAAGCTGGAATAGCTCAGTTGGTTAGAGCGTGTGGCTGTTAACCACAAGGTCGGAGGTTCAACCCCTCCTTCTAGCGGTTAAAGTCTTTAGATGTTTTTTTTACCAATTTTTTTTTTTTGTCAACTTTTACCAATTAATTGTTGTCTCCACATCATACGGGCCGTCGGGAACCCAAACTATGATCTATTTATAATTTTCTAATACAATGGATTCTCTGTACATATCTTTATTTTAGGAATGTGATAATGTTACTTGTAAATAAAAACGTTAGCAGAGTCGTGCCTGAGCACAGGCTAGTGAAGCATGTACTTCAGGGCCAATGAGAATAAATAAAATTTCGGGGCCAAAATTTTTAAAACTGAGTTAGCACAGAAGATATTGAGTGTGTGTTTTCTTCTTCTAATATGCGGGTTCGAATCTACAAGGCGTCAATTCTTTCTTTCTTTTTTAAAAAAGTCGGTCTTATGGTTGTCCCACATCGACAAAACTAAATAATTTAGAAAAGAAACTGCACTATAAATAAGAATTCACTTTGTTACTAAAAATGCAAGAATAGTCATATTTTATATAAAATGTATAAATATTCAACTGATTTTTTTTGTTATAACATTTTTTTGAAAAACGATTAAGGGGGCCAAATTATTTTTTTGCTTGGGGCCTGAGAATTCTTAGGCATGACTCTGAACGTTAGTGTTCGATATTGAACCAACAATGCTAAGTCTAATCATCGTTAGAAACATTAAAATTGTGGGGCAATTATGTTTATATTGGTTAACTAGTTGTTATCACGAATTAAATTCTATATATATGTGAACATATTTGAAGGTCACTTATTTTGTGGTTCTCAGCATCACAATGATATTTGTCAATGATATTTGTCAATGAACAATCAAAGCATAGTCACCATAAGGCTCGGATTAATGATACTGGAGGTCATAAGCCTTTAAATTGATAGAGACAAAACAATAAATATAGTAATTTAAAATAAATATATTTAGTAGTTTAATTTTATTTTACTAAATATACTAGTGATACTCATTACGCTTTTTCCATAACTTGTACTTAGAGCTATCATCATAAAATAAAAAAATCTTTATGTTTCATGATATAAGATGTTTTGTTAGACCAGCTCCAACGCAGACTCTTTGCAGGTTTAAGCATTGGATTCAATCAGCATTCAAAATCGAATTCGTGATAAACAAATACATAACCGATTACAAGTTGATTTACTTAAGCATATATGGCACAAATTTGGGAATCCACAAGATTACAATTAAAAGTTTTATAATTTTAATATCTTGTTTTTTATGTTGTAAATTTCATGTAATGAATAATGATTTGGATTTATAATATATTAAATGTTTTAAAATTGTTATAAAAATAAAAATTTTGAAAAAATATTATTTTATTCATAAGAATCCTTTAATGGAGCTCAGGGTTGGAAGCACTAAATTTGGAAAAGTTCTTCACATTTGAGACTCTTCAAAAAATTAGTAAAATAAGTAGAAGAACCCCATCCTGAATTCAGAGTTGGAGGTAGTCTTAGTTAGTGTTCTGAAAAAGCAGTTTACATGGCCGTTTTGGCGGTACTTAGGCGTAGTGATTACTTTATAAATATTGGTATCAATAATCATTATTATTAAGTGACTCCTTAAAAAAAATTTGACAGTACTAAAAGCACTAGATGGGCCGAGACGGTTCTAATCAGTTAATATTTATTTTTTTGTTTGGTATAGTTTTTAAACTTTTAACTACATATAGTTAGATTTATAAATACATGGTTGAAACAGTTTATATATTGTTTTTTACGAATAGAATGAATCTGTTTGTCTAAAATATTTGATTTTTCAAAAGAACATTTTTTGTCTAATTTAAATATATGAGAATTTTTTTAAAAAGTTTAAGTTTTTTATTTATAAGATATCTTTTGATATTTGTGTGTAATTTAAACTTTGGATCCAATTTAAGATTCACTATATTTACACTTTAATTTATTAATTACGAGCTACCCATGGTATTCATATGCTGCAGTATATATAAAATATATTTAATATATTGATTTATCTTGTAAATATTTAAACAGTTTAAAAATTGCTTAGATCCCGAATAGACGTTTTAGGCGTCAGACGTTATATCACCGCTTACTTAGTATTTAATGATTTTTTGAAGACAAAAAAATTATAAAAATATCATTTTTTTTTTAAAGTTTCCATGTATTGAAAAACACCAATCATTCAAAAAAAGACAACATAATACATTGGTCAAAATATTTAATAAATTTAAAGTTACATAAAAATGTGAGAATATCTTATATTTTGAATGAATCAGAATCTTCTAATAAACAGCTAAAAGATGTTTTGATACTTCTAAGTTCTAACCTAGCCTATTTTTTTTTTTTTTAAAAAAACCCTTCTAGCCTATTTCTTGCTTTTTTCGTCATTTTTTTTACAATTTTGTCTTCCTTTCCTTCTTGTTTCTTATTCTATTATTTCTTATCTTTTTTTTGGGTGAACTGCGATGTTCATTAATCAATCAATGGGGTACAAAAAGGTCTCCAAGAGCGTTTTTCGCAAGAGTGTCAGCCTCGACATTATCTGTATGAGGGACATAATTGAACGAAATAAGAGAAAATGATAACACCAGGTGGCGTATATCGTTTACAATGACATGAATTTTCGTATGCATTTCCTGCGAGTTGATGAGGTTCATAAGGATCTGAGAGTCTGATAAGACCTCAATTTCCTCAAATCCTTCATCAATGGCGGTTATCAATGCTTGCCTGAGCGCCCATGCTTCTGCAGCAAGTGCAGAGGATACAAAATGGCATGACGCGGAGAGCTGCAATAGTCGCTCATCCTCTTTAGTTCAAAAAATGAAGTCAATACCACAGTTCGCTGATTCAGCATGCCAGGCTGCGTCCACATTGCAGGTGACCTTGAGTAGAGGAGGAGGACTCGGCCTCATAGGAAGAGGTGCTTGAGGTTTGCGAAGTAAGCATTGTGCTTCTTGCTATGCCCTTGCTTCTCCTAGCGCGTTGGTGATTACTTCTCTCGCTGAGTAAGTCGTATTCCAAAAAATTTCGATGATTTCTGGCTGTCCAAAGATTCCAGCAGATCCAATCTGGGAGGGAGGTAGCAGAGTTTCCAGTCAGAGGGATACTTACTAGCGATGGGATGAGGGAGAGGAAGTTGAGACACAATACCATGTTCAAGTGTGAATGGTTCCTTAAGAGGTGTGATATACCATACTTCTCTTGCGAATTGGCAATCTCTTAGAACATGCATGATCGTTTTGGGTTCCTGCAGATCTTACAACCAAAATTGACTTGAATACCTCGACGAACAAGTTCTACTCCGACGGGAAGGGCCTCCACTGCCGCTCTCCAAAGAAACTGCTTAATTTTTGGCATATTGCTTAGGTTCCAGATAATTTTTTGCCAATTAAACTTCTGTTGTCAGTCTGGTATGGATTCAAAAACTGAAATGCCATAACCGAGCGAACAGAATACTTCCATTTTTCTGTGGTAGCCATACTAACCTATCTGAAGGGCGTGAGGAGATCATCGGTAGCAGACGAATATGGTGTTCATATACCGGAAGAATCTCGCATACCCTTTTCTTGTTCCACGTATGATGCTCATGATCTAGGAGGTCTGTTACCCAAAGGTTAGCGAACACGAGAGGTGGGGGTCCAAATGGTCTAAGTGGAGACTCCAAGCTGAGCCAAGGATCGTTCCACACGTTAATGGATCCATTTCCAATTAACCACCCTAATCCTTTTCAAAGAACTTCGCTCCCGGCCATGATGCTTCTTCAGCCATGAGACACATTCGAGGTTGGGGAACACTCCATGAATGATCTATTGGAGCAATACTTGCCCAAGAGGACTCGAGAGGCCAGTACATGGGGGGTGTGAGATGAGTCTCGCCCCCAATTTTGCAAGCAAGGAGTCGTTGAACATTTCGATATCTCAAAATCTCAATCCTTCTGCATTTTTCAGTGCAGTGAGCTTCTTCTATGATACCCAGGACATTTTCCTAATGTTTGCTTTATCATCCCACCAAAACCTTGTGAGCACCGATTGGATTTGTTTACAGAGTGATCTTGGGAGTTTGAAGCAAGACATAGTGTGTGCTGGCATGGAGGCAAGTACAGATTTGAGAAGGATCTGTTTCTAGGCAGCAGAGAGAAATCGCGAGGCCCAGCTGTGGGATCTTTGTCTGATACAGTCCACTAGTCCTGCAAATATGTTCTTTTTTCACCGTCTAAAGTTCTCCAGAAGTTCCATATAGTTTCCAGTCCCGCCCTCATTATGAATATTGAGGATGTATCTAGCAGCTATTCTTCGGAATCTCGGAGTCTTTGCTGAGAAGAAGATAGAGGACTTGCTAAAATTTATGCATTGTCCAGAAACAGCTTCGTAACACTTGAGAATCAAGGCTAGTGTATTACAGCTGATAGAGATCCAGTGCTAATAGTTTTGAGTGTGGCGCTCTAGGGCTTCCCATGGCGATAGTGACTGCGATTCAATCCAATCTCCTTCGGGCCTTTTGAATCTCGCCGTCTCGCATAGCTCCTCCCCGCTGTCACCCCCGTTCTCCGTGCTCTATATAATAAGTGTTGACTTAAGCCTGAAGTTAACATTCTAGAATTTAGTATTTTCTATTAGGATTAGGAATATGTTTAGAAGTTATCTAAACATACTTAGGAGTTATCTAAGAAAAGAAAATTCATAATTCTATTAGGAAAATGTTTTATCCACTATATAAGAAGATGCAAGGATGTTGCATAACTTATGAGTTTGAGGATTTGAGTGCTTTAGTTTTTGAGAGAGTTTTCTTATAATCCTTGAGTACTTAAAATAACTTTAAACTTCGACTACAAGAATTGGTATCAGAGCAAAATAAAAGGTCCAAACTAGGGTTCTTCCAAAACGTAATCAACGAAGATCCTACGGTATCCAATCATGGGCGATATTATTGCAGCTACGGAGAAACCAAAAGAAAGTGTGTCCTCTTCGATCCAATGCCCCATGCTAAATTCGACAAATTACACAGTATGGGCCATAAGAATGAGGGTTGTCTGAAAGTGCACAAGGTATGGGAAGCAATTGAAACAGGAACGACAGACTAAGAGAAGGACAACCTCGCTACAGGTCTCCTGTTTCAATCGATACCTGAGTTAGTGGTTCTCCAACTTGGAGAACTAGAATCAGCAAAGAAAGTGTGGGAAGCAGTAAAAACAAGATACATGGGAGCAAAACGGGTAAAGGAGGCGAGATTACAAACATTAATGGCCGAATTTGATCGGTTTAAGATGAAAGACACTGAAGGCATTGATGACTTTGCCGGGAAGTTATCAGAAATTTCTTCAAAATCAGCTGTCCTAGGAGTAAAGATCGAAGAGACAAAACTGGTTAAGAAATTCCTCAAGAGCCTTCCTCAGAAGAAGTACATACACATAGTGGCATCCCTTGAGCAGGTCTTAGATCTCAAAACAACGAGTTTCGAAGACATCATAGGACGCCTTAAAGCTTATGAAGAGCGAATCTTCGAAGAGGAAGAAGAAGCTCAGGAAGACCAAACCAAGTAAATGTATATCGAAACACAAAATCGGGAATACAACAGAGAGAATATGAACAGAGGACATGGAGGACGCTACTCAAGAGGAAGAGGTCGTGGAAGGTACAATGGAGGAAGAGGAACTACCCACTTATCCAAAATCACTTGTTACCGTTGCGATAAAACAGGTCATTATGCCTCAATTTGCCCGGATCGACTGCTTAAACTACAAGAGACACAGGAAAACGAGAAAGATGAGACACAAGATGCCAATGAGCTCTTTATGCACGAGGTCGTATACTTGAACGAAAAGAACTGTATTCCAAGCGAATACGAAACCAGCACAGGGGAAGAGAACATGTGGTATCTCGACAATGGAGCCAGCAATCACATGACAGATGATTGGAGATACTTTAAGAAAATTGACCACTCTGTTACCGGAAAAATATGTTTTGGCGATGATTCTCGAATCGATATCAAAGGGAAAGGATCGATAGAGCTCATCGATAGGAATGGTGATTCAAGGATAATAACAAACGTTTACTTTATCCCAGACTTAAAGAGTAACATTATCAGCCTTGGACAAGCTACAGAATCAGGTTGCGACATCAGGATGAAAGGAGACTATCTTACTATGCATGATGCCAGAGGAAGACTTCTTGTCAAAGCTAACAGATCGAGAAAACGCTTGTACAAAGTCTGAATGGGAATTACAGATACAACTTGTCTGCAATTAACCACAATGACTGAATCAAGTAAATGGCATGCTCGTTTTGGTCACATCAATCTTGAAATGGTGAAGAATATGATACAGAAAGAGCTTGTAGAAGGGATTCCGCAGGTAAAAATCGAAAAGGAGATGGGCAGTTCGTGTTTATTTGGAAAACAAGCAAGGCAGGCGTTTCCAAACTCAACCACATACTGAGCAACCAAGAAACTTGAACTTGTACATGGAGACCTTTGTGGTCCAATAACACCAAGTACAATGGCTGTAAACAAATACATCTTTGTCCTCATTGATGACTACTCCAGATACATGTGGACTGTTCTGTTAAAAGAAAAGAGCGACGCCTTCATTAAATTCAAAAGATTTCAAAGCATGGTGGAGCAAGAAACGGAGACGAAGATATAGACTTTCAGAACAGATAGAGGAGGAGAGTTCGTTTCACAAGAGTTCAAAGATTTTTTGTGAAGAAACAGGAATAAAACGTCACCTTACCGCACCATACACCCCTCAGCAAAACGGTGTAATGGAACGACGCAACAGAACACTATTGGAGATGACGAGAAGCATTATGAAACACATGCGTGTACCAAACTACCTGTGGAGAGAGGCAATAAGGCATTCCACATACCTTCTTAATCGAGTCGCTACAAGGGCGATCAAAGATAAAACACCATATGAGATCTTTAGAGAGAAAAGACCAAACATCGATCACCTTCGCGTCTTCGGATGTATTGGATATGCTAAAATAGAAACTCCACACTTGAAGAAATTAGATGACAGGACACGCATGCTTGTACATCTTGGTACCGAACCTGGTTCAAAGGCCTATCGCATGTTAGATCCAAGCAAATCAAAGATAGTTGTAAGCTGTGACGTGATATTCGATGAAACAAAAAGCTGGAATTGGAATACAAACAGCTCAGATCGCTTGAGAGATGGAAGCTTCAAGGTAATCATCAGAGAATTTGGAAATCGTGGGATTCTCAGAACAAACGAGAACAGTTCCAAAACAGAGTAACAAACAGAGGTTTCGAAAACATTGATAATGAAGATGACGATGAACCCAAAATTTACGAGGAGCAGGAAGCAGAGGTTTCAAACGATCACATTCAGTTTCCACCAGTTTTACGAAGATCTGAGAGGATAACCAGAAAACCTTAACACCTTGAAGACTTTGTCTTACTCGCAGAAGAAGAAGGGGAAAAGTTATTACTGTGTTTGAACGATGAACCAAGAAATTTCTTGGAAGCAAAGGAATCAAAGGAGTGGATACTCGCGTGCAAAGATGAAATTCGATCAATCAAGAAAAATCAAACATGGAGTCTTATGGATCTGCCGAATGGACCGAAACCAATTGGTTTGAAATGGGTATTCAAAATCAAACAAAATTCTGATGGGAGTATCAAAAAGTACAAAGCTTGTCTCGTAGCAAAGGGCTATGTACAAAGATATGGGATTGATTTTGAAGAGGTTTTTGCTCCAGTAGCTCGTCTTGAAACCGTAAGACTTCTCATCAGTCTCACAACATCAAATGAATGGGAGATACCTCATCTTGATGTTAAAACAGCATTCTTGCATGGAGAGTTGAAGGAGACTATTTTTGTAACTCAACCAGAAGGGTTTGAAGAAAAAGGAAAGGAAGACAAAGTTTATAAACTTAATAAGGCCTTATACGGTTTAAGGCAAGCTCCGAGAGCATGGAACAACAAGTTGAATCAGATTCTACAAGAGCTTCAATTTGAAAAGTGTTCAAAGGAGCCATCAGTTTATCGAAAAAGAGTTAAGGAACATCTGCTAATTGTTGCTGTTTATGTGGATGATCTATTCGTTACAAGAACAAATAGAAACGTTCTTGACAAGTTTAAACAAGAGATGGCCTCCAACTTCGATATGAGCGACCTTGGGAAACTTATATACT